CTAGTTTGGGACACGTGTGAGTTTACAAATAAGGTAGGTTTCTGTAGTTGCCCTCAAGGTTCATTGATGTCTTTTGGGGTATCTGGGCATTCCTGAATTAAAAGACCCATGAACAACTTCTTCCAGCTTTCTACAGAGGCTAGGTGATTTGGAGAAAATTCTGAGAGGTTTAAAATTTAAATTCTCTGTGAGGAGATCTGAGTATCTGCAGGGTCCCAGAAAAGTCACAGGTAAATGGCAGGTGCTCATTACCAAAGCAAGTTAGACCCTGTGGCCGAATCCAGACTAGCACGGCTATGTCGTATGTGGTGCTGCAGACACGTGTACGGTGCCACATACCGCACGTTCATCTGTTCTGTGCACTGCAAGGGAGAAGTGCAGTGGGTTATTTTGATCCCTGGATTTCCAGGAGTCAAAAAACTCACGCAAAATAAAGTGGGGTCTGGCTGCCGGAGCCCAACTCCATTTGCCAGCCAGGCTCCAAGCAGCAGGATCACTGTTGCTGTAGCCCCAGGCGCATCCCGGGACCTGAGGTAAGGCTGCTGGGACCAGCCCAGTGCTGGCCCCAGTCTCCTGTACCTCACCTGGGGTTATCTGTCGCACGCCAGAAGACTCGTGGCACAAGTGTTCCCTGGGGACCCAAACATCCACGCTCGTGCAGATGCAGCCTGTGCATGTATCTACCTGTTCTATTAGTAGGGCTGTGCAAAGGTTTGGTCTCTAATTCGATTTGGTGGAGATTCAGCCCAATTCAGTAGCCGAATCTCTGAATCTGAATCAAATCAGAAGATCGTTTAATCTCCCCGAATCAATTTAGAACCCTCTGAACTGATTCAGAGAGATTCAGACAGATTCAGTGATTCAGACATAGATACAGCTTTAAATGTTTTTTGTACATACCTCTAGGTAGCAGGGGCTCTGGATGCCATGGTGCTGGGGCAGATGCAGCATCCTACAGAAGCGTGGGAGGCTCCCCTGCATGCTCAGCAGCAGACCCGGAAGTGGAGCAGAAGCACTTCTGGGTCCACTGGGGATCATGCTGGGGGTCCCCCACAACCCCCGGAAGGGTGATTGGTGCCTCCTGGGTCGGGGGGGGGGGGCACCCAGGGTTCCCCTGTGGCCGATCGCCGGGCTGGGGAGGCTCCCCCACGTGCTCCCTGGCAGACCTGGAAGTGGACCGGAAGTACTTCCAGTCCACTTCTGGGTTCGCTGCCACGCACACTGGAGAGCCCCCTGCACTGCTGTGGGATGCTCCTTGCACCCCAGCATTGTAGCGATCATAAGCTGTGCTGCTACCTCAAGGTATGTAGAAAAAACTTTTATAGCTGTGGCTGTGTCTGAATTGCTGATTCTCTGAATCAGCATTGAATCGTCAGATTCGGATTCAGCCGAATTGAATCGGAGACAGTGATCCGAATCAACAGATCAAATCACTGTCCCTGATTTGGGCTGAATCTGAATACGAATTGAATAGGGCCCGTTTCACACACCCCTAGCTATTAGTGCTATGAAATAAACTCTGGTGCAGTTTGTGCCAGAGCCAGCTGCTCCCAGGCACCACATTTACACGTGCATGTGGGATGGCAGCACTTTGAGCTGGGGTGGAACAGCCCTGGACTGGCACAGGGCCTGGAGGGCGTCAGCCCCGGGCTCCGGGTGGCAACATTGAGCAATGGAGGGGTTGGCTGGGGCACAAGGAGCTATGATATGAGGCTAGGTGGCAGGTAGCCCTCTGCACTTTAGCACCCTCATGCCCCAGCCAGCCCGTGACCATCTATACATGCATTTTGGTGGGGTAAATTACTCAACCTTAGGATAGTACTGTACCTGGCAGTACTATCCTTCAGTGGAGTTAATTAATGTATTGTGCCCTAATACTGGCACATGTGTAGACAGTGATGCTTTACTGTGGGGCTAATTAATCAACTTCTCAGTGAAGCACACATGTAGATGCACCCTGTGAGTTTAATTAGAAGTCCTTAAGATAGAAAGATACTGGTGCGAAAGAGTCATAGAGGGGAAAAAGGAAGGAGAATAAGAAAAAAATAGAATGGGAGGGGGGTGTTTCATTTTAGGAAGGGAAGTCTTTAAATTAGAAATGGCCCCTCTCTTTTTTGCTTTTACTAGAACCGGTTGTGTTTAGAGCTAAATGAGTGTGGTGGTTAATGCTCTCCTTGCGTGCTAGCTGGTCATTACAGGCTCAAAGTGAGGAAGGTGACTACAGAATACATGTCACATGCCCTTGCTACCCTAATTCAAGGCAAATGCAACTTCAGTGCACCATATGAGGCAGGTCAAGCCCAGGGTGAAGGAAGTTTGCTGTGTAAGAATTTTAATTAGCAATGAACACAATAAAATTCATGATCTGCTGAAAGCTGACAGCTGAAAGCTGACAAATGCTACCGTTTGAGATTTGCATTTAAAGCCAGTTTGTGCACCACTCACCCCCATTTTAGATTAGCCATATATGGAATAGTCATCTACAAATATTACAGTCATCCCACTAATTGTATTAGCAAGCCTCTCAGCAGCATTAAGGACACATTTATACCACTTGTGGGAAATAGTCCAAATAAAATGAACCCAAAAGCTTCTTATTGCTTATTATATGGTTGAAAGAAAAAATATAATCTCGGATATTGGGGGATTAATTCAGTTCCTGTGGGCTGGGAAAGCACATAGCCTAATTGCTCATAAATCAGTGTAGGCTCACACTACAATGTATTGTAAAGACAGTGATCTTTTGTATGCTGCAGCTTCCAGCTCTTTATGTTTTGACATGTTAAGCATTTCAACATCAGCTTTTTACCCGGTAAATAGGAAATGTGCAGCAATATGATTATAACACTCGTTGTCAGTCAATTCAAGGACTGTTACCATTTTCAGGAATATTGTGAAAGTGTATTGTTTGTATTTTTAACCACCACGATAAATTTGATGATAGAACAAGGTCCACAACTGCTTGGAGGAATGGGAGCCACTGATGGGTAGGGGGAGGTGCAAAGGTGGCTAAGGACTAGGGGTGTACAAAGCAGACCCTATTCAATTTGGATTTGGTTTTGGCTCAAATCAGGGACAGTGATTCGATTAGTTGATTCGGATCACTGTCCCTGATTTGATTCAGCCGAATCCGAATCTGAAAATTTGATGGTGATTCAGAGAATCAGCGATTTGGACATAGACAGATGTTTAAATGTTTTTTCTATATACCTCGAGGTACCAGTGCAGCTTATGAATGCTGTGATGCTGGGGTGCATGGAGCATCCCACAGGGGTGCAGGGGGGCGCTCCATGTGCTCGGCGGTGAACCCAAAAGTGGATTGGAAGTATTTCCAGTCCACTTCTGGGTCTGCCAGGGAGCGTTCTGGGGCTCCCCCCATACCCCGCAGCTCGGCGATTGGTCCTGGAGGGACCCTGGGTGCTCAGACCCAGGAAGCACCAGTCACTGAGCCGGGAGGGCGTGGGGGGGCCTCCCAGCACGCTCCCCAATGGACACAGAAGTGGACTAGAATTGCTTCTGATCCACTTCTGGGTCTGCTGCCAAGCACACTGGGGAGCCCCCCACACTCCTGTGGGACACTCCAATGCCCATAGCATTCATGAGCTGCCTGCTACCTAGAGGTTTGTAGAAAAAACATTTAAAGCTGTGTCTATGTCCGAATCTCCAAATCTTTCCGAATAACTCTGACTCAATTTGGAGGGTTCCGATTTGATTTGGAGAGATTAAAGAGTCCTCTGATTCAATTCAGATTCGGAGATTCGGCCACCAAATCAGGCCGAATCTCGGCCAAATCAAATCAGGGACCGAAGTTTCGCACAGCCCTACTAAAGACACATTTCTGGTTCTCAGCTCCCAGGGTAATTTTTTTCTTTTAGTCTATTTTTCACTTATAGACAGGCTCTATCTGGCTCCTCAAACTTGCTGTGTCAGCAGGGAAACAGACATAGCTGTGCAGTCTGTTTTGCTGACTGTAGCGTGCTAGGACCCAGCCTTCTTCCCATGGCTCTGCCGTGACACAGCTCTGTGGCTAATTCTTAGGGCCCCCTACCTACTGTACCTCACTCGGAGAAGGGTCTGGCCTTCTGCATAGTCCTCCTGCTATTTCTGCACCTTCTTCCTTGCCTGCAGCTGATAAGTCATGATGAGTGAAACCCTTTCTTAGCTTAGCTGCTTATCCACTGATCTTCCAAATCAAACTTCCAATTTTTTTTGCTTCGTCCCTCACTAACTCAAATGTAATGTGGCACTTTGCGTCAAGCGGCATCACATTATAAGAAATGCTATAAATTCACTGGAGAAATGTTTATATAATTAATAAAGAAATGTAAAAAGAGAAGACATTTTAAGGTGAATGGAAGTGTAAGACATGAAAAGTTCTTTCTAGCTGAAAGAAGTATTTGTGTGAACTACTATAATGAGTATGCTGGCTCCTTGCTAGCTGCCCCATGCTGCTATTCCCAGAATGACCTGGAGGAAAATGATTAGGCCACACATCATTCCAGGAGGTGCAAAGACAAAATACTTAAGCACTTCAGCAGATGGGGGAGGACTTTGCAATGATCACCAAGGCCACTGACATCAGATAGAAAGATGGAGGGTTGTGGCTCAGTAGTAAGCAACATCCTGGGGTGGTTAGTTAGGAAGCCAGAAGCTAAACAGAGCATGTGGCTACAACTGGAAGGGAACCAGCAGCAGAATACCAACAAAAAGCAGGAGATATGAGGTAATGAGAAGGACAACACAGGAAATCCCCAGTAAGAGCATCAGATTGTAAGATCTGACTGTGATTGAAGAGTTAGGAATGATTGTTTATCTGTTTTGTAACTGGTTAAGCTTTTATACCCAGGCTCTTGTTCTCTTTTTTTTTTATTGCCATGAGCTCTAAGAAGATGCCAAGGAAAATGCAATAATGTATATTTTGGTTTAATTTTTCACAGGAACCATGAAAGTTTTCAGACTTCAACACTGAGGGTGGCTAGGATGAATGTTTCTGACATCTAAATGAAGGCGGCAGTAAAATCAGAAAGCATTATAAAACTACATGTGTACAGGTAAGTCTAAAACCTTTTAAGAACATCATTTGTCAGAAAGGATGGAAATGCTTTTTAATTTTAAGTTATTCCTGACAGGTTTGTTTTCCATTCCACCTTTTATTATTCCTGTGCTTGTTCTCTCCTTTCCCTTGTGCATCTTTCTCCTTTAAAGATTTTTCTCAAGAAAAAGCCTTCTCCTACCTTTCTGTACAGAATAGGAGAGGAATGCCTCAGTGCCCAATGTATTCTGTTGCAGAGAAGACTGATGTGGCAAGGGGAGAGAACCATTTCCTTGCCTATTCTGCCCAATCTGTGGTGGCTATCACTGCTGATGGTTTTAGTCTGGTTCTCTGTATCTGACAGAACCAAAGGATGTTTATACACATGCTTCGGGAGTGGAAGGGGGAGACGGGAAAGGGTGGCTTTAATTAGAGCGGCTCCAAGAGCCACTGTAATTAAAGCTCCTGAAGCGCCTCGTGTATCAGTGTCCCTGTGCTGAAAAATGGCAGTGGGGCACTTTAACTAAAGCTTATTGAACAAGCTTTAGTTAAAGCACCCTTGCCGCCAGTTTTCAGCACAGGGATGCTGATACATGGGAAACTGGCATCTACTGGACAGCAGTAATTACCATGCTCCAGCAGACTCGATTAATCAAGTCTGCTCCAATGCGCTGTAATTATAGTGCATCAGAGTGCCTTGCTGCATGTGTATAGGCACCCTAAAGGACAGATTGTGCTTACAGCCATTTTAAAGGCATGACTAGGCTAGGCAGTAGGTTTCCTTGTGCAATGTCAGGGACAGTACAGTTTTATAAACTATATCTATTTTACCAGAAGCACTGGACTTTTGTCTTTTTATTAAGAACTTTCAAAAATTTCATAATTAGCAGCAGTGCTAAAAATGGACTCACAAAATGTGCATATACCTAAAAAACACTTAAAAGTACAGCTGGCCTTCCAATGTGCAGGGTGTCAATCTAACAGAAGGTGACCAGTCCATGAGTTCTCTCTTTCCTTGCTCTTTCTGCCAGAGAAGTTGATCAGGGTTTTCTCTCTCCAGTCTTGCTGACAGATGGGAGATTCAGTCAGCCTTGGAGCT